GGTTGAGAAATTGAGGTCTTGCCTCTGGAATCGTCAATTCTATTCCATTGGTCTATATGCCTGTTCCTATACCAATACCAAGCTGTTTGATGATTGTAGCTTTATAGTAAAGTTTGAAGTCTGGTAATGTGATACCACCTGCTTTGTTTTTTTTTGCTGAGGATTGTTCTGGCAATTCTTGGTCGTTTGGGTTTCCATATGAATTCCTGTGTTGTTTTTTCTAGGTCTGAGAAGAATGTTGCTGGTAATTTGATAGGTATTGCATTGAATCTGTAGATTGCCTTAGGTAAGATGGACATCTTCACAATGTTGATTCTTCCAATCCATGAGCATGGGATATTTTTCCACTTGTTTGTGTCATCTTTGATTTCTTTGAGCAGAGTTTTGTAGTTTTCATTGTAAAGGTCTTTCACATCTCTGGTTAGGAAGATGCCAAGGTATTTCATTTTTGTGTGTGGCTATTTTGAATGGAATTGTGCTTCTTATTTGGGTTTCTGTTTGTTTATTATTGGTGTAAAGAAATGCGATTGTTTTTCACATTTATTTTATATTCTGAGACTTTGCCAAAGGCCTTTATCAGTGTAAGGAGGTTTTTGACAGATTCTCTTGGGTTTTCAAGGTATACAATCATGTCATCTGCAAAGAGAGATAATTTGACTTCCTCTTTTCCTATTTGGATACCCCTGATTGCCTTCTCTTCTCTGATCACTCTAGCCAGGACTTCCAATACTATATTGAACAGGAAGGGTGAGAGTGGGCATCCTTGTCTTGTTCCAGTTTTCAGGGGAAATGGTTCCACTTTTTGTCCGTTTAGGAGTATGCTGGCTGTGGGTTTCTCATAGATGGCTTTTACTAATTTGAGGTTTGTTCCCTGTATGCCTAGATGTTCAAGGGTTTTTATCAAGAAGGGGTGCTTGATTTTATCAAAAGCTTTTTCTGCATCTAATGATATAATAATGTGGTTTTTGTTTTGACATCTGTTGATGTATTTAACTATATTTATGGTTTTATGAATGTTGAACCAGCCTTCCACCCCAGGAATGAATCCTACTTGGTCATAATGAATGATTTTGAGATGTGTTGTTGAATCTAGGGACCATCAATCTTGTTTATCCTTTCAAAGAACCAGCTTTTTGTTTCATTGATTTTTTGTATTGTCTTTTTGTCTTCTATGTCCTGGATTTGGGCTTTTATTTTGGTGATCTGGATTCTTCTGCTGAAATTAGGGTTTTTGTGATCTTGCTTTCCAGTTTCCTTAGGTGGCTTGTTAGGCTATTAATTTGTGCTCCTTCCATTTTCTTCATGTGTGTTTGTAGGGATATAAATTCCCCTCTTACTACAGCTTTTAAGGTGTCCCAGAGATTTTGGTAAGATGTTTCTTCATTTTCATTTGTTTCCAGGTATCTTTTGATTTCCGTTTTGATTTCATCATTGATCCAGGAATTGTTTAGTGTTTAGTGTCCATGTCTTTGTGGGTTTTGGGGGGACCTTGTTGGTGTCAATGTTTATTTTTATTCCACTGTGGTCTGAGAAGGTGCATGGTAGAATTTCGGTCTTTTAAAATTTGCTTATGCTTGATTTATAGCCGATAATGTGGTTGATCTTGGAATACGTCCCGTGCAGTGATGAGTAGAATGTGTATTCTCTGGTCTTTGGATGGAATGTTCTGTAGGTATCAATTAAGTCCATTTGGTCCAGAGTCACATTGAGGTTCCGAATCTCGTTGCTGATTTTTTGTCCTGATGATCTGTCAAGGGTTGTGAGTGGGGTATTAAAGTCCCCAGTTATGATGGTGTTAGAATCAATATCTTTCTTTAGTTTTCCTAGGAGTTGCTTTGTAAAAGTTGGTGCACCTATATTAGGTGCATATATGTTTAGGACAGATATTTCTTGTTGATGGAGTGAGCCTTTTATCATTATGTAGTTGCCCTCTGTATCTTTTTAAATTTTTGATAGCTTAAATGGTATTTTGTCTGAAATTAGGATCACGACTCCTCCTTTCTTTTGTGCTCCATTCGCCTGAAAATTTGTTTCCCATCCTCTTACTTTGAGTCTGTGCATGTCCTTTCTAGTGAGATGGGTCTCTTGAAGGCAGTATATTGTTGCCTGGTGATATTTTATCCATTTTGCCAGTCTATGTCTTTTCAGTGGTGAATTTAGTCCATTCACATTCAGGCTAATTATTGAAATGTGAGAGTTCATCCCTAACATACAGTTCTTTTAGAGTTGTTCTTCCACTTGGTTTATTGTCTTTCTTTTGTTTTTGGGGTTGGTTCATATGTATTTTATTCTTTTTCCTGTACTCTTTTGAAAAATGTTGCTCTTTTTCTCCCTTTTCTTCTGTGTTTAGTACTTTCTTAAGTGTTCCATGTAGAGGTGGTTTGGTGGCAGCGTAGGTTCTTAGGAATTGGATATCTGGGAAAGATTTTAATTCTCCCTTACTGATGAAGCTTAATCTGGCAGGGTAGGTTATTCTTGGTTGAAATTGTTTATCTTTTAGGACTTTGAAGATAGGGCTCCAAGCTCTCCTAGCCTGCAGGGTTTCTGTAGATAAATCTGCTGCTATTCTAATTGGTTTTCCATGGTAGGTAATCTGACCTTTTTCTCTTGCTGCCTTTAGGACTTTTTCTTTTATGTCTACTTTGTTTAGGCGAATTATTATGTGTCTAGGAGTTGGTTTTCTCACTTGTTGTCTTGCAGGGGATCTCTGGATCTCTTGTGTCTGAGTTTTTGCATCATTGATTAGATAAGGGAAGTTGA